TTTTCATAAATGAGATAATTAGAAATCGAATTCCAAATTATTAATTGTGCAAAATTTATTTGAGCAAGCATGCCCTTTAATGCATTGCATGCAATTAGAGTAGTTAGAGAAAGACTGTTCAAAATATTACTTTTTGTTATATTTTTGTTATTACTAGCAAAGCCAGAATGCCTTGAAATTTATGTTTTTTATTTTTGCATGTCATGTTTAAGCCGAATAAATTAAGAAGAAAAAAAAAACAGTTAAATTAAAACTACCAAGTCATTCGAAAACAGAAAAGATTGGGTTGAGTAATGCGAAGCGTGTTGTGGGTGAGGTATCTGACTTCAAAGTGCCTTTGAAGCAACTTCAACTATAAATCATGTTCGCAGTGGGTGTCAAACAGACGTATGACTTCATATAGCTCTGTTTATCCTTCAATGTTAAACATGAGAACAATGCAACATGGCAAACATACATAAAGATGTCACATGTTAGAGCACTTCCGACCGGAAATGCTCGACTTAAAAATACCTTGCCGGGATGCTATTTCAAATGTTTCAGCAACATTATTAGGACTACAAGGGCCTCAAGGCATCTCCCAGTGGAACATGGCCAACTGCTTTTTGATTTGTTTTTGTATTTGCCTGAATGTTGTTTTATTGCGATTGTTGTAGCGGATTTGATATATATATCCTGAAAACAAATATGTACGTTATTACTATGCACAGCATGATTTATTTTTCGTATACACACTTTATTACATTGACTATTTTTTTATGTTTTAGCCTGTCTCACTAGATGGGTTTTCATACGATGTATCAATTCTACAATACAGTACCACATAAGTAATTATATACATTTATATGTATAAATGTGCAATGTTTTTTTATTGAACTTCATTTGATTTCACAAATTGTTGGCAACTTTTTGCATCGATTTACAATTTTACTGTAATTATGTATTCTTTATAGCCAATCCCAACACCCAGGATGGGGTCGTTCCCTGTCGGCGGGGGACTCGCACCCGAAAACGCGCTCGATGCTCTGCTAGACGAGTTAAAGACATTCTCAAAGCCAATTGCCCAACAACAACAGCAGCAGCAGCAGTTGCAGCAACAACAACAACAACAAATGCAACAACAGCAGCAACAACAACAAAAACCACCATTTGAGGTAAATGATTGGGCTCCAAATATACATAGATCAATTTCCATTTTGACATATATACATATACATATATCACGAATGTATGCATCATAGGTACGCCCTGAAGATTCGACATCTGATGAAAGTGCTCAAGCAGCGATACAGAGCACCGTCACCACGCAAATATCTCAGGCACGCCTGCTCACAGAGGCGAACGTCGTCAATATGCAACAGGCGACCACCAACAACATGGTCATGGCCGTTTCTAGTGCTAGTGGGGCAACAACGCATTTGTCGCGTGGTGCATTGACCCATCAGCAGTCGCAACAGCAGCTGATGGTGCATACCAATATAGGAAGCTTGCGTCGCCTGCATTCATTTCCCAGCGAATCTGACAACGAGCTTCCACCCCCACTCGCTAATGGTGGTGGCGGTGGTGGCGGTGGTGGTGGTGTTGGTGGTGTCAGCGTCAGCAGCAACAACAATAAACCACCAGTGCCCGAGCGCAATGCCGATTTGATAACAAGAGTGGGCCACAAGCGCATACCGCCACCACCGCCGCCGCGTACCAGCTCACGTAGTCCACTGGCCAGTCCGACAAGCCCAAATATGCCACAGAACATAGCCGCTGCCACAGCCGGTGCTGCTACCGCCGCCGCTGCCAACATAGTTGACAATAATATGATGAGCATCGAGACTATCGTAATCGGGAGTGGTGACACTTCAAGCGGCGACAACTCCAGTGGCAATGAGTCTGGCAACGATCAYGCACAGCGGCAGGTGGCACTTGAGATGCGCCACCAGGAGTTATTGAAGAAGCAAAAGCTATTGCAGGAGCAGTACCAACGCTTACAGCAAATGAGCAAGATACCATCGGTTGACATATCCGGGCCCCCACATCCCGGCAGCGAATCGAATATACAGCAGAAAATAGCCGCAATCAATTTGTTGGCCTGTGAATCCATGGGCAGTGATCCGGCTGCAGCAGCGGCGGCGGCAGGAGCTGCTGAGAATGCAGCGGGTACAAATGGTGTATTGAACAGTGATGCTACGGGTGGTGTGGTTGGCGGCGTTGTTGGTGGTGGTACAAGTGCAGGAGCTACTGCTTCTGCTGCTGTTGCTGCTGCTGCAAACACCACAATGACCACCAAACAGGTGTACGAGACGGAGATACTCTAACACAATTGGAAATTGGCGTGGAGCGAAACGAAAATTGATATTTAACTGTAGCATCATTATACATTCTATATACTATATATACACATACATATGTATATGTGTCTCTGACACGTCGCACAAACTGCAGCTTAGTATATCTCTATCTCACTCTCCCTCTTCCACTCTCAATCTTTGTCACGATTGTATATGTTTCTCTGTCATATGCATGAATTTCTGCTCTGATCTGTATTACACTCTTACACTCTTCCTTCCCCTCTCTCTCTCTTTCTCTCTCTCTCTCTCTCACTCTCACTATATTTGTCATCCTTGCTAAACACAGACATCAGACGAATCATATACGAAGACTAAAAGCCTTCGGCTCTGTAATACTATTAATACTTGAATAATAGGATTGTTAAGAATGTTAAGCAAGTAAGAAGTACTCCCATGCGTGTTAAATCTAAATGTCTTATATATATTCCATAATACGTTTGTGTGCCAGGCTACATGTACGTATGTATTGCCGAACGAAAATCAAAAATTTAATGAGAAACCCAAAAACAAAAATATGCGATGTAGCTCCATCGTGATGTAGATGTGCATCGAATAAATGTACGTACTAAGCTGTTTTGTCCCTGCTCAAAATATTTTGAGAAAATTGCCAACATTAAACATTATTAGAATAGTTAGTAAGAGATACCAACACATTAATTGAATTAAATTGCCTATCCTCCACACAAAACAACAATAATATATAAAAGGAGAAGAAAATATATGAAAACAACGACCATCTTACTAAGCAAAGAATGCGTGGGTGAATGTGTGTCGTATAGTTAATGGTCGTACATGGAGGAAAATTAATGAGAGGTAGATACTTTGCAATTCAACTGTTTGATCAAGTTTACTTTCATATATGTCTCATTTTATCTTTTTTTTATTTATTTGGTATGGGACGTGAGACTGATAGTTCTATATATCTAGGTCAACAAAAAAGTGAAGAATTATCTTCGATAATAAGTACGAAAATATTTCTTAGAAAATAATACTAGCTAATTTTATTCCAGTACACGGTAAATTCTTTCCAAAAATAAATTTAAAAAATATATATAAAAAACCGACATATTCTGCATGCCGTTTGTTTTTGAAAACCCAACGTTTTCGTTAACAATATTTGATTTTTGGGAAGATTCGTTTTCGGAGTTCCGAAAATATATATGTTATAGTTGATCTGTACATCCCATAAAATGGGACTGGGGGTATACATTAATTTACTTCTCTATGATCGATTGTAGTTAAAAGTCATATATTTGATATCTTTATATTGCACAGCACTTCCTAGCTAAGGATTTTTAGATACATATAGGTTTTACACATGATTTTAGCCAATCGGAATGATTTTAATTTAAAACAAACGAATTTTGTATATACCATACAAACTTTTAAACCATATTAGAAAAGTCTCAAATTATACATTTAATTTAATATTTCACCCAAACGCCATATATGTAGCTATGGTAGATCCTTTTTTACTTAAGTCAAATATTTTGTAAAAAGTCGTTAATAATATATTTCCTGGTTCATCAATGCATATACTTTAGACGCATATATCGACATTGATCGATCAATTTCAATTCTCACTGTTTCGAATAAAACCAAAATGTGAAATAGTGTAAAGATACTTATATGTCTTAAATACATATATATATATATATTATCGCTCTAACGATTAATAATATATAATATATTACAAATCACTGTACGAAATATCTTATTGAGTTTTGAATTATTTAGTCAAACGAATAAAAGAAGGAAGCGAGAAGCGATGCGCTCAAAAGATTTATACACATTAATCATACTATTTATGATAATAGAAGGCACTTTGTTCTTGTTTTTGTTATTGTTTAATTCGAAATTATTTGTCATACATACAACGAAAAAAAAAAGAATTTTGATTACAGCGATAAGAAGTACGAAGCTACATATGTGAAAGTATTTATCTACTATAAAGCTGCAAACATAATAATATTTATTATATGCTACTTATAGCAAACTATTTTAAAATATTGTAATCTGCAAGTGTATGCGTGTATTGTATGAATACGTAAATGTTTTTCTTATAAGGCACAGTAAGCACACACACGATTGGAAAACTTATAGTGAAAACCTAAAACGTTCATGAAATTACGTATTATGAACATTAATAACAATGATAATAATACCAAAATTAATATCGAAAATCATCATGCATGGAAATGTAAACATAACAGATGCGCATTTTTTTTGTCTTAAAATTATTGTAATAATAATAATATAAAATTAAATTGCAAGAAACCACAAACAATAAAGATATCATATGCAAATTGATTTCCGCTGTTTTCGTGGCTAACTTACTTGCTGATATATTTATATAGCAATGTAAAAGTATCATGTTCAATAGCAATTTCTATGTTATTCACGATCAACATCAATCTACAAAATTCAATCTTAGGCACGTAAGATGCACATACATAACATCCCATTTTAACCGTGTATATGAGCTATTTAAAAATAGATACATTGTTTAGAAAAGGCACATTAATATTGATATACATTTTAATCTGTCATGGTCAAGTGACAATGGGATATGTTACTTTTTATCTACCTCGATTCTTTTTATATAGCTAATCTCAAAAATGTACTTCGACACTCGCTTAAAACAAAAGAAGATGTACATATGTATCAGCTATATAAATTTGTAGTCGAACTCTACATTATAACTTATCTATGATTCACAAAGACAGTCGCAAGGCAGTTTTGGCATTTTGCTAGCTGGCCATGGTAGATAACCAGCTGTTTTGAAGACCCAATAGTCGTACGAGACTTTCGTGATCAGAGCTAGTAAGAGAATTACCTCTGCGGCTATTAGATAGTATATGTAGTCAGTCCAATCCGGTGGCGATTGACAGAGCTTTGTCTCTTGCAATTCAATAACACTCTGAGGTAAGTTGCGACATCTAATATCCATGTAGTCCGGTATATCTGTGCTGCGCTCCTTAAGCCAGTTTTGCAGCGTCTTTGCCGAGTTACAATCACATTGAAGTCGATTCTCTGCTAGATAAATGCGACGCCCAATGCCAGTATCCATAAGAGCATTGTTCAAAAAGTATTCGGGAATCTAAATATAAAATAATAAAGTAAAGTACATATGTGTAACGTATTTTTTAAATATGTGTTATATATCTACCTTAGTCAGTGAATTGTTGCGCATGTAAAGGCGTTGAAATTGCTCAATAAACTTTGTGCCCTCAAATTCGTAAATAGATGATATATGATTGTTATCGGCGTCCAGTTTTACAATATTGTAATAGGTGGGATTCGTATGGAAGTGATCGCCAAGAGTGCTGATTTTGTTGTTGCTTATGTTTAAAGTGAACGTATTGTCCGGCAGCAAAGATGGGAGTTCAAGCAGGCCAAGATTTGAGCAATCCACATGGCAAACGGTACGAGATTGATCACCCTGTATTATCATCATATTATATATGTTACAAGAACAATTTCCATAGTTCGGAATAACTGGGCACTTGGTACCACACTTTTTTATACTCTCAAGCTGTTTAACCGACACTAAATTTGTTGAGTTGAACCACTTGTGTGTCGCATTATACAAGCAAAAAGAGTTTTCCGGATTTACAAAGTTGAATGAATCACCGTATATAATCTCGTTTAAAGGCTCACAGAGCAAACGCATGTTCCCACTAAAGAAAATATTTCTGTGTAATTATAATAAACTTGATTTGCCGTAGAACGAGAAGCTTACCTAATATCTAAAGCTATGTGTTTGTTCTGGTTGCGATTCGGAACACGGGACAGTAGATTTTTCGATATACCAAAAAACTCCAGTTGAGGCACATCCTTTACGGCTCGCGATGCGATGTCTGATATATTATTGTTCGATATGTTAAGGCACTTCAGCTTCGAATGACGCGGAAAGGCATTTGTTAATTGCATAATATTGCCATCCGTAACGGCGAGCGACTGCAGCGATCGATATATCGGATTGGAAAGGTTCATGGCCTGCACGCTGAGGTTACGCACATGCAAATTCGTCCACTTGGATATGTTACTGCAACTTGAGATCATCGAAATGTGCGTAATGTTGCAACAGTACCACGAGTTGGCTCGAGTCGGATGCTCCCGGCACTGACAGCTGTTCGCATCGCGATCACGAGCTTGGAGATTCTGGGATTGCAATAGACTGCCATTCTGTGCACTAATCGCAGTCATATTGTCCGTCATGTTTTCTTCACCATCATCTAACTTAACACCAGAGGCATCCAAACGATCGAGTACAGCTGGCTCATCGCCACTACTGCCATTGTGGCGCCGCCAGTTAAGACACAGCTCCTCTTCTGCGTAAAAACAATTCTTCAAATAGTCCGGCAATTCAGAGGAGACTGCAGCCGACGGCGCTGCAGCGGTTGTGCTAGCCACTGGTGTTACAGCGGGCACTAAATCCGCTTTCTCAACTTCAATTTGCCTCTCGATGACCGCCTGATGCGGTATGGGTGGGGGCGTAATGGCAGACGTCTCCATCGATTGCGTTACCGACTGGGCCGACGGTGCCGCGGATGTAGCAGCCAAGGACTGTGGTGGAACTGTTAGCTCTTCCGGACGTGCGCATGCGTGAGCAAGCATTACGATTAGAACTAACTGCAAAAGTGGAATTCAAATAGTAATTATCTGCTGATAGCGGATAGCCAAAACGGAAATCATAAACAATATGTATTCATGCAAATATTGACAGTGTACGCCCTCAATATTGACAGAGATAATTAACGCGCAGTTGTAATTTGATAAGACGAAGGCTTGGCCTGCTGTTAAGGCAATTAAGTTAAGTGTGGGTCAAGGGGCGAGGGCCAATAGAACCCTTAAGCCACCCAGCCGAGTTCCAAGTTTCAGGCACATCAGGATTTATATAAATAGTAATTAGATATGATAATAAATAAACATATACATATGTATGTATGTCTATATATACGCATACAAATGTATATATAGCATATATGTATGTATGTACGTGATTTATGGATTACGGCTACACATCTAAGATAATTGCAAATGCACATACCATTTGATATTCATTTACAAATATATTCTTTAGCATGGACAAACATTGAACTTTATGGGATATTTTACAATGTATTATCAGATATATGCATGCAAATATGAACATTTATAAACGTGTCTGATAATCAGATATTTTGGTGGCATATAAGTATATCTACATACATACATATGTATGTATATATTGAAAGCATATCAACATTTATGTGGGTGTGAGTTTTGCAAATTCGCAAAGACGAAATGCAGCTTAATGCCATAATACAAGGTTTCATGTACGAAAGATGTACAAAAGCAAACAGTTCAAATATATCGCACTTTGATGCCGTTTAATTACATTCAATAAATGCCTTTGATAAAGCTTAAGCACAAAAAAAAAAAAACAAAAAAAAAAACAACAACAACAACAAAACAAAAGTGCATATTTATATATAACGACCCCATTCATATGTACATATGTAGGTACATACAGGCCATATACATATGTAAGTGCGTATGCGCGTCTGACTTACATCTTTAAAGGCAATCATTGCATCTGCTGCGTAACGCATCAACGGAAATTGCGATTTGGAAAATCAGCGTTTTTAATTTTGAAAAACAGATCACATTTTATAATTAATTTTATTTTTTAAACTGTCTGCGCATGCTAACAATACAACATTGCAGAATCGTTCTCAGCCATATGAGTTAGGCACATACGTTAAATAACAAAATGTTATTTGTTTAAACAAAAATAGAGAAGTATATATTTTAATCAGAAATGTAGAAAAACAAGATATTAGTGTATGTTATCGACAACAATACGAACGCAACAGTGTTCAGGCTTCCCAGACAAATCGTGGGTGTTTTGCAAACACTAAAATGGTACTAAAAAATACTATGCTCAAGAAATAATTCAGTATTTTTTTGTTTGGCATTTCATTTCATAGATCCGCTCTCTTCATACAAATGTATAGATGGGCTTAATGAGTCATAATTTTATTGACTTTAACATTGCGATCTCTTTCTAAAGATCTAGCAAACAAGCAAGTAGCTGTTCTTTGTACCATGACGCGTTATCAGATGTTGCACCGAAGTGTCAAAGAGAATCTATCGCGGATAATTGAAAGCATTTGAATTTCACCAATCAAATCATCCTTAAGTTATTTTTCATACAGTGAAAACTAGAATTAATTAAAATGCCAATTGATACCCGCGAGCTAATGGAAGCCATTGCCATCATAGCCGATGAACGAAATATCCGGGTTGCAGTAAAACAATCAGGAAAAGGAACAGCGATTTGTGCTGCTTGCTGCTTTGCTGGCGGCTTATTAATGGGTCCTGTGGGCCTAGCTGTTGGCGGCGCTGCCGGAGGAATCGCTGCCTATAAATTGACCAGTGGTTAGTTTTTTAGTGTTACATTACGAACTCTTAGTAAAACTTGTGTTCACTTATGTATATATGTTACAGGTACGTTTAGGCCGCTGGGGGAAGTTATATTGAACGACTTAACAGACGCACAGCGCGAACAGCTGGTGCAACATGTAACAACAGCTGTAGCTGACGTACGACCAACGGATTTAGTAATGTTGCTGCCTTTGATAACGCAGAACGCATCTATTCAACAAGCAGTGCTCAATACAATTATGTCCTTTGTTACAAATGAGCTACGGATGCAGATCATTGATTGAACTGTTATATGTGAGCATGTGATTTTACCTATGTACCATAATTCTATAAATAAAAATGCCCTAGAAATTATATGTAGTCTTATCAAAAATGCACAAAAACAACAAAGCCGTCGAAATTATCAACAGCAATATTAATGTAACTAGGTGTTTAAACTTTCCCATAAATAATTAATTGCTACAATATAGTTTACTGAAGAAGAAAGTACGACGTTTTACTAAAGTACGTAACGTAATTTTATTGATAACAAAATATATGCCCTAAATATTATATGTACATGTGCACCATGTTAATAACTGAGATGTTTCTGCTATTCCCACTCCACGTTGACCTGGTCCCAATCGTCAACGAAGGGTTGATCAATGGTATCGATTAATAGTCCACAATATAGACAATCGGCGGCAAGGATATCTTCAATCTCCGTTTTGAGATCAGCGCGCTTCTTTAGTTGCTCAGCTGTGTTATCTGACGATCCGATTGCTTGTGCCATTAACGTTTCCAGCTGTTGCTTGAGTAACGTTAGCCGACGACTTTGGTCCTTGCTGATCATGGGCACCACCTGTTTCTCCAGGCAGTCACTGTGGAACTTATGTCCACAAATGTACACAAAGAAGGGCTTAACTAGCAAAATGAGATCACATATATCGCAGGCGTCCTGCGCTTCCATCCGAATGCTATGTGCTTTTAATTTACGCAACTCCTTGCAGACCCGATCTGATTGCTCCTTCGACTCAGCCATTTCTCTCTGTAGCTCCTGTATGCGTTGATTATAGTCCTGCGGGAAAACTCATTTAAACTTAAAAAGCAAATTTAAAAAGTGTGAATTAAAACCTTACTTTAAGAGCATCACAAATAGCCTCTTTAAAGTTATCAATCTTCTCAAAGTCCGAGAAAAAGGGTAGCAGATCCTCAATTCGCAGTAAGTCACACTGCTTTAATAAACTTAATGCCTTCTTCACGTCGTTTGTGCCCTTTATGTCATGGTATGCTACAAGTTTAAAGATTTTTAATATACTTTCGCTTTCCGTTTAAGTAAGCACAATTGGATACAATCTTTACCAATTCGTAGCCACAATTTTCGTCTTGTCTCTCTGTCCTGGGGCTTGGACGCCGTGTCTTTGGCCAATTTCATATCGAATTCCAGGGCCAGGTCGACTGCAGTTGTCCACATGCAGAGCATGCACTGAAGGAACACACAAGCTACCTTTACATCCAGCTCGGTGCACACTTTCAAAGCAAAGTGAATGTCATAGTGCACTAAGGACTCATCCCGTCCCTGAATCTCTAGATATTTCATCAGCAGCTTTTGATCGTATTTCGCGTACAGATGCAGGAGAAAGTTGTGTATAGCTTCGTTTACAGTGTTTAGTGTGTAGACGGCAAACTCAAGATAGCGTATCACCTGCTCGCGCTGTTCCTTCGTATCAATTACCACAAGAGTAGGCACTACTTTCTCTATCTCTAATTTGGCACCTTGAGCAATCAAGGCATCTATAGTTTGCTTTGGCAGCCGTTCTATAAGCTTGGGTGCATATTTGTAGTATAGTGTAAGATCGCGTTGCTTGCACAACGTTTGCAATGCCATTTCATACCGATCTGCATTCAATTGTTGCCCGATCACCTCGTCATAGTCGTCTATAGAGATGGCAAACTGTGCCAAATTATGTGGATCGGCATGCTCGTTAATCAATTGACGGACTGCAGTGCGATGATTTCTTGTAATGGTCAAAACCGTAGGTTCACGCATAAACTCATCATACTCGCTTTGCCATTCATTCCGCCAAGTTGCGTCCTTGCCGGGTAAATTGATTTGTGTAAGATATAGATCAATTAACCAGATAATCAAAGCCTTTACAGCATCAGTTTGGTTAGCCTCCGCACTTGCGGTCAGCTTATTGAGTCGCTTCTTAACGTAGTTAACTATCGGTCGTTTATCGGGCAGAACCATAAATTTAAGGCATACCGTCTCGAATGCCTCGTCGGTTTCAGCATAGTAATTGGCTGCGACTTCGTAAGAGCCCTCTTTGAAAGCAGCTTCGGCCCGCTGCTCCAATACTAATTTCAGATTTTCAGGCACTTCGGCTGCATGTGCCGTTGCCAACTCATATTGGCCGCGATTTAAATATATGCGCCATATGTTTCGCTCCTCATGGACTATACGAAGCGTGAACACAATTTTGTCTGTGTAAACATAAATGGCACCGGTCACGGCATCCCGCTCCATATTCAAGAGTTTGCCAACTCTGGGCTCATCGAATGTCTCATGATAGACCATCTCCTGGTTAAGCAAGCATATGGCTTTTATGTAGTCTGAGTAGAGGAGAACGGCATGGTACTCCGTCAAAACAAAAGACTTGGGGACATTTATACGTCGCTCATCATAAGACATATGTTTGCTCTTCTCAAAGTCTAGATTTATCAATGTATCACCTAGTAGCGCGTTGCTTCCGTTTGCATCTATTGAAAGCTATAATCAGAAAGAATTTGTTTTAATTTCAGTTTAGAGGTGTGCACCACATACCTCTCCAACGCGAAGACCTGAGCCGCAAAGCCACGCCCATTGTTTTGGATATTTACTATTGGGTGGGGCGAAGAATCGTAGCACTGAGTAACCCAAATCAGTTTTGTGCTTCTCACAGTGCGGCTCCCGTTCGCCATTTACATAGCTTGCAAATATAGGCTGTAGGCAACGCTCCTCCTGCTTGAGCGTTTCCTGGAATGTATAAATACAATCGGGTGTTGTGGCAACGACTATCCATCGATTGCTATTGGGCATTCGTAGCACCTCCAACCCATTAATTGGATATTTGCTTAGACCCAATCCTAGGTCATAAAGCTGTTTACGTTGCGTATCGCTAGCGGGCCCCAGCTCCATCTCAAAGATGAGGCCACGACTTGTGCCTAGGAGTATGAAGCCCGTTGTTGATTCATTGCCGTGGTACATATTAAAAGCCACTGCTGTGATTTCGTGGTCTTTCAACTTTTCGATTCGGCGCACTTTTAATTGTTGTGCTTTGGTTGTCTCGGTGCTGTGTATGTACAAAAAGTCGGATGATACACCCGGGGATTTGGGCACCAATGAAATAATTAGATGATGGCCAGTACTATCCAGGAACATATTTGTTATTTTATATCCAGTTACATATTTCTCCAATCCAGCCTCTGTAATCAATTACACATTACAATCTACATACATGCATACATACACATATATAAAAAAAAAAACAGTTCGCTCACCGCCTGGTGGTATTGCACGAGGTAGAAAAAAACGTAGCAAAGTTAGTCGTCCCTCTGCAGACAGCATACAGAACAGCCAATTCTTCGAGATGATTAAGTTTGTCAAGCTTCCAGGACAGTTACTCGGTATATTGAGCGTCATCTTTCGTTTACTGAAAATTTCTTCGTCTTCTGATTCAAAGGGATTTCCTCCGGCGGTGGCAACGTACGTATTTGTGCTCGCCGATGCATTGTTTTCGACACGGGGCAAAAATTTTGGCTGCGATGTCTTCGCCTGTGCCATTTCGAACGGTATTTGTCTTTACTGTCGATGGGTTTATTTGTAATATTTTTCAACTTCAATTACTTGTTATATTTCATCAAACGCCCAAAAATGTGTGACCAGTAGAAATGCACTAAAAAATACCAAAATATACATTTCAACTCAAAGTTCCAAAACGTAAACATACTAAATTTAATGAAATTTAAAGAAATTAAATTGAACTTTTGCGTGATATTATACGAATCTGATCTAATTATTATTTACTATGTAGATAATTTGCAAATGAACCTTTTCGTTTTTGACCATTTTCCCAAGAAACACCCATTTTTCATCAGCCAGATGCGCTTATTGATTATCTGAGCATGCTTTTGCCCTAAAACCGCCTCCAATTCAAATCGACGTCGCCTTTTCCGGCGAAAGGCCAAATTGTTGGTTAAGACGAACTGCAAGACAGTATGTTATTATTAACCTATAAATTGAGACTAGGATGTCAACACTTACGGTTAAATTATGCTTCATCTGCAGTTTACGCATAACTGTATGTAGTTCCATCAAAAGTTCCGTGCGTGCGAGTATGTTGTCCAGGCTTCGAATTGCAAACGATATTGAGTCAACAATAATCAGTTTGATCTGCAAGCAAAACCACCTTTTAAGCAAGCTTCTTTACATTGCAACTATTTCATAGCGTACATTGGGTTCTCTTGCCAAATACTTGTAGCAATTCAATAAGCCAGCTACCAGATGGGCTGCAGTGTGGCAATTAACATAAAACACATTTCTTAACATCTCAGTTGCTGTGGGTAGTAATCCAGACGTTTGTCTAACGCTTGGGCGTGTTACAAGCTCTTCAGCCAATTCTGGGTAGATTCCGAAAAATATATGTTACTCGGCTATAAATACATATACATATCTAATACCTACGTACCTTTCAGCCTAATAGGATCAAAATCTTTTCGAGTATCAAAATATATAGCTTTGGCCTCCGATCCATTCTGATATTGGGGTAATTGAATATTTAGGCAGAGCCTCAAGCTAGAAATACCCTTGCTTAGTAAATTTTGAAAGCAATAAGTATCAAGAGACTTGCCATAATTGTGTTTTTCCGGAACCTGCTCTGCCTACCAGTTCATATACTTTTCCTTGCTGAAGACCACCGTTTAAAAATTGATCGAGCCCACTTATGTCAGTAGCAATGTTTGCAGACTTGGCGTACTTAAGACACTTAGCACTCTTTAACTCCATTGCGATTGCATTGATTCGTGCTAATACATTTAAATACCTTGGGCTGATATCGAGACTTTGATCGTGTATCGATATATAGTCAGCTGTTGCTATCAGGCCACTGTTAAGTTCATCTTGTAATAAATATTGAGTGATAATAGGTTATGCAAAGCAGCCTGTTAAGTTAACAGTGTGACGTCACGATTGAAGAAATTGATTTTTGTATGAAAATAAATACCTTTGACATTGACAATCGAACAATATAGGGACTGCACTAATTCTTAATAATATTCTTAATAATAATTGCTAATAGAACTGTTAATCAAAATTAAATGTAACGTATTAATCATATGAATACTATATAGTTTTACAAATTAAAGCCTTAGATACTAAAGTTAACATGAGTAAAAGTGGAAAACAGTCTATGTCAACAAAAATTAGTAAAGTATATTACTTGAAAATATCATTAATTCATATGTTTTTCATGGTCTTTGTTGTATCATAAGTTCATTCAGATATGGTTGGTAGAAGGAAAGAAAACAACATTTATATTTTTGAAATTTTTAGAACTTTTATTTATAATTTGTGGCTTTCTGTATACATGTAATTGTAGTATGCT